TTTCGAAACTTTTTTTATTATTTTTTCTTAACCTACAGAGTCTTACACATCGAAGCATGCTGTTTTGAGAGTGATGGAGTGAGGATAGCCTGGCTGGTGAGAAAATAAGGGTCCGTTCAAAAAATGCAGGTGGAATAAATTTCGGAAAATTATGCACAAAATTAACTATTTATTTTCTGGTCAACCAGAACAAAACACACTTACACTTGGTAAGAAAATATCTTAATGTTCACTAATGAGAGTCTTGTTAATATATCAGCTGACGACCACGCCGGCCGGCAGTACACTTTGAACTTGAAATTAAACTTGACTCGCGATTTTTCACTATAATGATTAAACCGAATGAGAGAATGCCTTGAGATAATAGTGTTTATTGTTTGAGATCAATTTGAGTTTAAAACAAATGATAAATTTTGAGGAAAACCAGGGAGGTGAGAAAAACGTTCTATCTCTTGAGAGTTCCTTTTTTTGAAGTGAGAATTTTACATACATGCGGCACGACGACGCGGAGATAGAAATAGCGCCCTCGAGCGGCAGCTTTGCGTACAAATTCAAAATTGTCGCGCACAACATTATTTCACCACAATTCAATTCACTCAGAATTGAACACATGCATTTTTCATTAACTTATTGATACTTTAAGTATTTTATTTTGTTGGTAAACAAAAAAAATAAAAGGGACCACTTTGTCGGACTGTTGCAAAAGTTGTTTCTGTTTCAAAATGCAGGGGGCGGAAAAATGACAATTTTTAAATTCGTTTTTTTAGAAATTAAAATTTCGATATTTTCTAAAATTATTCACAATAAAGTCCCTTAAAAAATTGTTCATGTATACATTTTTTTTTGCTTCAAATCACTCAATAAAATAACATTTAACCATTAACTTCCCAAAAAACCAGGTTCTCTCTAAATCTGAATCAGTGAAATTCCACTGAAAATCAGTGCAATTTGACTTAGAATCAGTGACTCTATTTTCCCGATTTGAATCAGTGGAATTTCACTGAAAATAAGTTTAAAATAACTGAAATTAAAGACATTTTCCACTGATTCGTCAATTAAAAAACTACTGAAAATTTTTGTCACAAACATTAAAAATTTCAGTTATTTTTTAATTGACCAAGCAGTAAAAAAAAACTGTAATTTCAATAATTTTTAACTGATCTTCAGTGAAATTTCACTGATTCAAATCGCGAGAATAGAGTCACTGATTTTCAGTTAAATTTTACTGATTCAATTTTAGAGAGTTTATTAATTAAAAAACTCAATTTTAGAAAAAAGGATCACTTTGTCGGATGTCCGTTATTTTTTCATTGTTTCAAAATGGAGGGGAGAGAAAATTCGAAACCTATTAATTTTTCATCTTAAAAGTATAATAGACTTAAAACACTTCTTATCTGAATAACTTCCTAGAAGAACCAAACATATTCGCATTACAATCTTTGATTTCGATTTTCTCGAAAAGAGGTTTTTGACATTCTAAACTTTGAAATTCTGTAACTCATCGAATTTTTCACCAAAAAGGTTCTAAGACCACTCAAAATTTTATAAATTTCACAAGAAATTCGCCCATGTAGATAAGTCCAATAGTACCAAAATGATCCATTTTTATGCGGACGTCCACATAGAAAAAATCATTTGTGCAAAATTTAACATTTAGCCCCAGTCTCCCTTACATTTTATTTATTTATGAAACTCTTTATTCAAGTATTAAAATATGTATATATAAATAACGAAAGTTTTTTTTATTACTTCCTCATAGAGGAAGTATTGTAATACCGAAATTTTTCGAGTTCGATTTTTTGACATATCTTTATTTTATTTGACCTCAGGAGTTCAAAAATGACATTTTTAAAAAATGTCATTCCGTATGTGTGTGTGTGAACATCACATTTTTATAAATATCTCGAAATAATGAAGAGCTTTTGGGTTGAATTTTTTTTAAATTGTAGATCTCACCTGCGGACATAAAGTGAGAGTACTTTCTGATAGGGTCAATTGGGGTAAATGTAAACGGAATATCAAATTTGGAAAATGCTGTAACGCGTTCTTTAAAACAAAATTTACCTTTAGAAGCTTATATTAATTTGTTATTTAAAGAAAAGGGAGTAATTTATTGAATTATTATTAATATTTCTGTAGTAAATAAACTTTTATGAGTAACAATAAAAATGTAAATAATTAGCAAAATTGCTTTTATTGAAATAAGTTTTTAAAAAAATTTTTCTTTTTTTTCATTAATTTATACAATCTTATTTATTTTAATTAATTACTAAATTATTATTATTATTATTGTTTATAATTATTTAAATTTATATTTTATGTAACACTGTTGAGAATTATACACTAAACACTTAGAACTAAGACAGAAAAATATCGCACACGCACGGGGGATCGAAACCTAGACCTCGAGGACGCAAGTCGAATACATTAACCGCACAGCCACGCCAGCTTGGAAGTGATTTTACTTAAACTTCCTTTTGAATTATGGGAAGGATACATACAATGCTATAATAATGAATTCACTGTATATTTTAATACTGTATATATTTAAAGAAAAATTATTATTTAAATATATGTTTTATACGTTTTTATGTTTTCTTATTAATTATTTTTAAATTATTTAATTATTTATTACATATAATTTAATTATTTATTAAAAGAATAATAAAAAATATGTACCATGCCGGTGTTTAACTCCGTCCTAACTCCGGACATTTCTACTTGGGGTATTTTTCACGAAAAACATTAGTTTTTTTTGTTAAAAGGTAAAACGGACGGATTTTTTTGCACGAACTTGTTACTAGAGTTCCCTAGAAAAATTTTATGAGGTACAACAAAATATTGATGCACCTGAATCGCCTAAAACTGACTGTTTACATTTACCCCGAGATTTTGAAATTTTCCTGAAATTCGGGGTAAATGTAAACACCACTGTAGTTAAACGAGGTTTAAGAAACAAGTTATTTCAAGTATACTACTGTTTTAACCCATTAACGCCCAACAGGACGCAAAATGTACATTGATTTCACGACTCTCATTTTGTATGAAATAATTAGTTAAAAAATTTAGGAAATACCATTTCAGAAGTAAAATTTATCGCTCTTTCAGAATATTATGTTAAAATTTGTTTATAATTATCTCAAAAAAAGTTATAACAATTTTATTGCAAAAAAACAGTTTTTTACAAAAAAAAATTTTTTCAAATGCAAAAGGCTGAAAAAAAAATTTTGGGAAATTTTTTTCAAAAATGATTAGATTTGCTTGAAAACGGTTACTCGGGGGTTTTTGGGGTCGCTGATTACGAATCTGCTGTTACTTTTTCAAAATTCAAAATGGCGGATCCAATATGGCGGACAATTTTATAAAAAAGTGATTGGATTTGCTTCAAAATGGTTACTTGGGGGTTTTTGGGGTCGCTGATTACGAATCTGCTGTTACTTTTTTAAAATTCAAAATGGCGGATCCAATATGGCGGACAATTTTATAAAAAAGTTATTGGATTTGCTTAAAAATGGTTACTCGAGGGTTTTTGGGGTCGCTGATTACAAATCTGCTGTTACTTTTTCAAAATTCAAAATGGCGGATCCAATATGGCGGACAATTTTATAAAAAAGTGATTGGATTTGCTTGAAAATGGTTGCTCGGGGGTTTTTGGGGTCGCTGATTACGAATCTGATGTTACTTTTTCAAAATTTAAAATGGCGGATTCAATATGGCGGACAATTTTTTTAAAAAGTGATTAGATTTGCTTGAAAATGGTTACTCGGGGGTTTTTGGGGTCGCTGATTACGAATCTGAGTTCAGAATAAGATTCGGTTTATGCTGCACGTCCGTTAGCCGTCAATAAAATTTTATTGACGTTGCCCAGCTCTTACCACAAGGAGTGCCTCTTTTGGAATTTGCGGAAACGTTATTTTTGACTTTGAGTCTATTTTGCCTTACTGTTCCTGTTGCCCTTAGACCAACGTTTTTTAAATGTACCATTAAATCTGGACTTGAAAAATTTACTGAGTTTGGCAGCTAAATCAAAAGAGTAAAAATTTGATCCTTTACCGCAGTAAATGTCACAGTCAAACAAAAATCCCTCAACACTGCAAATCGCCCACATTTTGATGCCAAATCGAATGGGTTTACCCTTTATAAATTGTTTACAAGCCAGGAGTTCATCAGTACACCAATAGTCCCGTTGTGATTTTCTTTGGTTTGAACTAGACAATATAATTATCCCCACAAAAGCATCAAAATCATCTTTTGAAAGATTGTAACTATTTTGGCGTGTAGCTTCTGTTATGTAAGATTTTAATTCTAAATAAAAAAAGAGTTCAAATAATTCTACAAAAGAATACTTACATATTTTATTTTTTTCGTTAGCAGAGAGTAAATTTTTATTTTCCAAAAGTTCACAATATTTTTTTAACCACTTGACCATTGAAAATTATGGTTCGGTTCCAATTTCGACTGGTTATCCGAATAATTTTTCATGGTCTGATGGAATGAGCTCCTTGCTGTTTCCTCTAATTCCAAACTCTCATCATTTAAACATTCTTCAAAATCTGATTCAATATCCGATTCTCCTGAATCATCTGGATTAGGAATTAACACAGCATCCATGATCTATTCATCTTCTTCTACTTCAATCTCTTCACTCCTGCGAAACCGTTTCTGCCTTTTTGCACTCGACATTATGCAAATAATGAATCACAAGTCTTTGTGGGAACACTTAAAAAAAACAAATGACTATCAAACAAAAATCTAACATAACACTTAAAAAAACAAATGACTATCAAACAAAAGTCTATCGTAGTAAATCATAGTAAATCGTAAGTTAAAATCAGACAACTGACGATTTTTTCATTTGTTGTCTTTCATTTCGTGTGTTTTTCATTTGTTCCATTCATATCGGTCGAAAGCATAATACTTCTAGACATTGATAGGCAATTGTTTTTACCAATCGTCAAGATCATTATTCCCACAAAGACTTGTGATTAATTATTTGCATAATGTCGAGTGCAAAAAGGCAGAAACGGTTTCGCAGGAGTGAAGAGATTGAAGTAAAAGAAGATGAAGAGATCATGGATGCTGTGTTAATTCCTAATCCAGATGATTCAGGAGAATCGGATATTGAATCGGATTTTGAAGAATGTTTAAATGATGAGAGTTCGGAATTAGAGGAAACAGCAAGGAGCTCATTCCATCAGACCATGAAAAATTATTCGGATAACCAGTCGAAATTGGAACCGAACCATAATTTTCAATGGTCAAGTGGTGAAAAAAATATTGTGAGCTTCCGGGAAATAAAAATTTACTCTGCTAACAAAAAAAATAAAATATGTAAGTATTCTTTTGTAGAATTATTTGAACTCTTTTTTTCGTTAGAATTAAAATCTTACATAATAGAAGCTACACGCCAAAATGGTTACAATCTTTCAAAAGATGATTTTGATGCTTTTGTGGGGATAATTATATTGTCTAGTTTAAACCAAAGAAAATCACAACGGGACTATTGGTGTACTGATGAACTCCTGGCTTGTAAACCAATAGTTTCTGCAATGTCTCGAACTAAATTTGAAGACGTCAAATCTAAAATAAAAATGTCGAAGTCGGAGGATGAGAATTCGGAAGACAAAGCTTGGAGAGTGCGGGTCCCTTTAGAAATTTTTAGGAAAAATCTGAAACAGTTTGGATTCTTCCTTACTTGTTTGTCAGTGGATGAGATGATGTTGAAATTTTATGGACGCACTGTAATGAAACAATTTATAAAGGGTAAACCCATTCGATTTGGCATCAAAATGTGGGCGATTTGCAGTGTTGAGGGATTTTTGTTTGACTGTGACATTTACTGCGGTAAAGGATCAAATTTTTACTCGTTTGATTTAGCTGACAAACTCAGTAAATGTCCTTTAGGAAGTCGTGTTGTCATGCAAATGACACAAAGCCTTCTAACTTCCGTTGTTCCCAAAAAATTATCTCAGTATCACTTATACTTTGATAATTATTTTTCAAGTCCAGATTTAATGGTACATTTGAAAAACAATGGTCTAAGGGCAACAGGAACAGTAAGGCAAAATAGACTCAAAGTCAAAAATAACGTTCCAGCAAATTCCAAAAGAGGCACTTTCGAGGTTCAACATGACAAAACTAGTGCTGATTATTATTTGAAAAAGTCTGGTACTGCAAGTTTAAAAACCCATAAATTGCAAACCGTTGCCTCGAAAAAAAATTGCCACTATAATGCAAAGTGCAACAAAAGGACACAAAAAATGTGCATTCAATGTGGCACATATCAGTGCATCACTTGCTTTCAATCGAACCACATGTAGTGTTACTCTCATTTTTATCATGGTAAATAAAAATTTCATATTTATCGCTGATATGGAGTTAAAAGTTCATACTATTTATTGAAAAAAATATTTAAAAATTTTTTAAAAAATATTAAGGCCATGTGGGAAAGTCCCACGTGATGAAGTATGGGAAAGTAGGGTTTCGCATTTCCAATTATTTAGAGAACTAAATTAATATTTCGGATTAAAAAGGGTGGGAGATGATAGAGGAGAATAAACATGATCTCGCTGTTCTATGTTTGAATTAGAATTATAAGTAAAAATTGTTTAAAAAAATTCCCGAAAAGTGCACTGTATTCTATTGAAAGTGACAGGCAACATGGCGGCAAAGCACTGACAGCCGGTGGGGATCACGTAGGCTGCCGTCGCGTGAATGTGTTGGTGTGCAAGCCACAGCGCCCCGGTAGTGGCTCTTGTGGGAGTTACTAGACTTTGGCGGCAACAGTTTAAAAACTCAAAATCAATTGATTTATTTCATCAACATTTTTCTCAGTAAAATTTATAATAAAATATAAATATTATAAATTATTAAAGCCATGTGGGAGAAAAAAGCGATTTCGAAAATTACCTGTCATTTTTCAATTTTGAATATTTTAGGTTCATATTTGATGGAATGATAGAGGAGAGTATGCTTTATTAAATTTTCCACAGTTGTTTAATTAATTTTTATAAATAAGTGTTGAAACATTTGTTGAAAAAAATTGTGACATTTTCATGTTTTTCAAGCACAAACATTGATGAAAATAGACTAGCGCAGGTAAGTGTCAAATTGATATATCTGCGTGCATGTGTGATTTAAATTTAAAAATTTTATACGAAATAAAACTTCCGTGGATAAAAGAAATAATATTTATGTTATTATTTTCGTTGTAATTTTTTATATAATTATTCTATTGTTGTGTACTTAGGTTTTTTAATTTTTCGACAACACAAAGTAAACTGATATACATAGATAGTACAATAATAAAAAATAATTATTACTTATTGTTATTATCATAACTTCAAAATTAACAAAGAGGTACACTAGAATGTCCAGGAGTCAGTTGAACATTATCTACAGGGAATTTTAGTTTTCATCATACAACTATAACTCTAAATTAACACCAGGATATCTAGAAGTCATTTGAACATCATCTTCAAGGAATATTAATTTTCATTATACAATCATAACTCTAAATTAACACCATGGTGCACCAGGTTGTCTAGAAGTCAGTTGAACATCATTTTCAGGGAATTTTTTTTCTTTAACAAAAACAATCGTAACTCTAATATTGAAAACAAAAGTATACCCGGACGGCCAGGGGTCAGTTGAACATCTTCTACAGGGAATTTTTGTTTTCAACCTAAAATGATAACTCTAAAAGAATTCCAAGGTACAACCGGAAATCTAGAAGTCATTTGAATATTACTACATTGTTGAAGCAAATTTTATCGAATTCGGAATATGGATGATTTGAAGTAAAATTTCATTCCCAGACAAAAATAACACTAAAAAAGTTATTTTAATCTTTTATGCAATAATAGTAATTTGTGAAGCTTTGTTATATATTACAATTTACTGTGTAAATTATATATATTTAAAACACGTTCGATTTTTTGAATAAAAATATAAAATATTTCTTCAAAATTTTTTTTCTCACTTGTAATGTTTTTTTATTATAATTTTTTTGAATTTTATTTATTGTTTCATCTTAACATTATTCTTTAATTATCTTAAATTACCATACATATAAAATAATTATTGCAAATTTTGACAAAATTTGTATAATCTTTCTAAACACTTCAATACAACGGAAATTGTAAAAAAACCGTAGAGAACTTGACATTATTTTTTACTATACAGGAACAATTCTTTGGAGCTTTCAAATCAACTGCAACTTTTTAAATTATATTTGAGTTCCTCAAATCGCAGTAGAGTTCACCGAAGCCATTTAAACCGTTGTGAACACCTGCAATACACCGGAATTATAAAAAACCGTAGTGTATATGTAGGAATCTTTTTATTATCTATAAAACTTTTTTGGTCCTCTCATGTCACACGCTACATTTTAACTCATTGCAGACAAGTTCACCGGAGCCATTTAAACCGTTGTGAACACTGCAATACACCGGAATTATAAAAAACCGTAGTGTATATGTAGGAATCTTTTTATTATCTATAAAACTTTTTGGTCCTCTCATGTCACACGCTACATTTTAACTCATTGCAGACAAGTTCACCGGAGTGATTTAAACCGTTGTAAACACTGCAATACACCGGAATTATAAAAAACCGTAGTGTTTATGTAGGAATATTTTCATTATTTATAAAACTGTTTTGTCCTCCCAAATCATATGCTACTTTTCAATTTTTCGCAGACAAGTTCACCGGAGCCATTTAAACCGTCGTGAACACTGCAATACACAGGAATTATAAAAAACCGTAGTGTATATGTAGCAATCTTTTTATTATCTATAAAACTTTTTTGGTCCTCTCATGTCACACGCTACTTTTTAATTCATTGCAGACAAGTTCACCGGAGCCATTTAAACCGTTGTGAACACTGCAATACACCGGAATTATAAAAAACCGTAGTGTAAATGACATAATTTTTTTTCTATGTATAGAAACTATTTTAAGGGTGCCTGTTAGTCGCATACACATTACGTAATTTAAATTTCCAGTTATCTATGCTGCTCATTTTTATAAAAATTTCAAAATTTTTAGTACTCTATTTTCGGTCTCTTTAAATTTTTAAATTGGGTTATAATTAAAAAATCTTATGATAAAATTAAAACACTGGTAAAAGGAGAACATAGCAGAATAAAAATGAGGAAAATGAATTTAGAGTTAAATGTTTAATGTAAAGGACTTACTGTGTAAAAGTTCCTTGTAACGAATCACTTCAACATTATACCCATTGATCAGCACTACTTTGATATCTCAATTTTAACCACCACTTTTGAACATTAAAATTAGAGCAAGTTCACGCAAAAATCAATTAAACTGTTTAGAAATTAATAGTTTCGCTTAACAACTATTTTTCCTGAGTGGATGACTTAATGTGGAATTGCTCAATGCCAAAATCACTTTATCATTACTTTGCCGCCAAATTCTACCACTACCACTTAATTACAATTACTTTATATTACTTTGTCAAATCACTTTTTACAACTCCTTTAAAACTATCACTTTATCAACATAACTTTACCACCATTTTATCATTATTACGAACACATTATCACTAACACTTCGTTATATCACTGTTATTCGGTCACATCATTGTCACAAGTTTATAGCTATCAATTTATTAAAATCAGTTAATTACTACTATGTTATCACTACCACTTTATAAGCACTATTTCGTCACTATTATATTTAAATATTACTGTGGCAAATACTTGTATCAACTTATAACGTTTTGAATAGCGCAATTTTTAAACATATTTTATACATACAAGGTTTTGGAGGCTGATATTGTTTCCTAACCTCTATTAAACTATCCAGAAACACTAAAGAAGACGGTGATTTTCAGTCCGTAAGTGGTTGCTGTCAAATATTAATTTTGAATTTGGATTATATCTGAAATAAAATATAAAAAATGATAATTTGCTGTAATTAGAATATTTAATAACACAAGATAATAATGGTTTTAGAATGCGTTACCTATTTATTCCTTTTAAATACTTTTTGTCTGCGCATAAATGATGAAGTTCTTTTCAATTCAAAGTCGTTTAATATTAACTAAATTCGATTATTTTCAAGAATTATAATATCAATTCAATTATTTCCAACAATTTTGATAAAATTCTTTTAAAAAAACATTATTTGCAAAATTTTCAATCAAGTTTCTTCAAAAAATTCAATTATTCTCCAAAATTCTGATAAAATTCTCCGGATCAATTCATTTTTTATGGTTTTTAAAATCATCTGCAACAATTCAACTTTTATCATAAATAAGAAAATTCCTCAAAGCAATTCAATTATTTTCATAAATAAAAAATGTTTTGGATGAATTCAATTATTTTCAATATAATTTTTACATAATTTCTCAAAATAATACAAGGTTAAAAAAAAATTATTTTCAAGATTTTTAATAAAAATTTAAATTTTTTCAACAAGTTTGATAAAAAAATCTTCTAAACAATTCAATTATTTTAATAGATTGTACAATTCTTGACACAAATTTAATTATTTTTGTAAATAATAAAATTTTAATATATTTAATATATTTAAACACGTTGAGAAATAAAGTAAACAAAATAAGTAGACAGATAAATAAAGTAAATAGACCAATAAAACGAATAAGAATGAGTAAATAATATTAATTGCAATAAATTACCCGTGAGGATGCTACTTCGCTTCCATGACTCCTCTGTATTGACTCACATTTTCCCCTCTTTTGTGAATCACATGTCGAACATGAGAAATAAAACGTCGTGCTTTTCTTTCAATTCGGTTTTTCTCAAATAACCGTTACTTCAATTAATAGAGTCATTCCAAAATTACTAAAACAAAATTCACTTTCTGCTCCTTATAAATATACTCCTGCGCGTTTTCCATCTCAAAGTAGACCTGAAATCGTCAAAAATCTTTTATCCCCTTGTGAATAAATATAAATACAAATAATATTTGTAAAAATATTATTTTATTATTTTATAAGAAAAAAGTTAATTTTCAACAATTTTGTTATAAATACTTTACAAGAATACAAAGATTATAACAATTATTCAACGACTTTATATAAATACAAAAATTGTAAAGAAATATTTTTCATTACCTAAAAACGTTCTTCAATTCGCCCACTTTTACGTCGGGATATTGTAGATATAAGGTAGGAACTAAAAAAGCGGAAACTTGGGCCAATGGTCAGGCGAAAACCGTGACGCAGACTCTCTCATGCAACCAGAGTCGGAGATTCTTTGCGTCCATTGGAATAATTAATGCAGCGTCTTCCAATTCTTGAACTCTCTGTATCAATTCTTTTAAGGCCACTTAAATTGAACTGAGTTTAACAGTTCACTTCTTTACACACGGCAATGTGTAATATGCTGTCGACAAAAAAGGATGATTAAAACAGTAATTTTTAATTATTTTTAATAAAATAAACAGGTAGAGATTAATAAAATAAAGTAAACAAAATATATAAATAAATAAAGTAAATAGACGAATAAATAATATTTATTATAATAAATTACCTGTGATGATGCTTCTTCGCATTAATTACTCCTCTTTACTGTATCTCACTTTCTCCTTTTTCGTGAATGTCATGTCAAAAATAAAACATGGAACGTTGTACCTTTCCATCCAATTCGGTTTTTCACAAAGTACGGAGTCACTTGTTGTTCTCGAATGTAACCGATTTTTGAATCCAGTTCAGTAACGGCAACAGGCGTCGAATTAATAGACTCATAGAGTTGTTCTAAAAGTACCAAAAAAATTCCACTTTCTGCTCCTTATAAATATACTCCTGCGCGTTTTCTTTCTCAAAATAGGCCTGAAATTTACGAGAATTCAATTATTTTATATACAATAATTTAAAAAATTTAATATTTAAAAAGACAAATTATTATTTAAAAAGTTTGTAAACAAGAAAGTATACAGTAACTAACTTGAAACTGTGATCATATTACCGGAATACGATTATTAATATAGATTTTATAACTTGAAAAAAAGACACTTTTTATAAATTTACTTATAATTAGGGGAAATAGCAGTATATAAACAATTTACAAAATAAAAGTTTGAAGAATTAAACAATTATTAAAACTTAATAATTTCGGACATAAATGAAAGCAAAACAATCATATATACCTGTGTATAAACATTAAACATAACCTCAAATGGAGTTTGACTTATATCTATATAGTATACTGAATAATACATTCATACCTTTGCTTGAAAATTTATAATACATGTCCCATTGATTGTTTTTATTAACTAATAAAGACACTTTGCATCCATATTCAAATATCACTTTATATATTTCAAAACACTAAATGTACGCTTTCACTTTCACTGTAGGGTCGCCTGTATCGTTCGCCAACAACATTCACGAAGCACTTGTGCTTGTAGCCATATTCCTAACGCAACCGACTCAACTCTGCACCTTTCCAATGTTGCCAACTTAAAAAAAAATTAGAAAAAGAATATGTTGGTATTTGTGATTTGGCGAAGAACTTTTGATGAAAATTTCTTTTTCCTTCTTTCGAGACGACGGAGTAGGACGACCTAACTATAAAGGTTATTTAAAAGTGAGTATTTTAAACTTAATTATTTTATTATTATATGTTTATAAATTATAGAACCCCAAATTAAAACTTTAATTTCATGAATAAATAAATTTAATTATCGTCAATCCTTTATTTCTAATACTTAATCACAGTTATTTAAATGATTAGAAAAGTTAGGTTAGAATTTCATTCTACCTTTGCGTCTACTTAAGGGCATTTGAACCTTGATGACGTCACCCATGCTTTGCACAACGTGTAACGTCATCAAGGTTCAAATGCCCTTAAAAAAAAATTAATAAAAATCAAAGAATATATAAAATTTTAGTTTGACCTACTTTTCCATAAAAATATTTCAATTTTGAAACATAATCTAAATAATTGTATGGATTGGTAAACGAATCAGAACTATTTGCAATTTAATTTTTTTAGTTTCTATACATGTATAATATATTATGGACATTTAAAGGGGTTAACAGGAAAAAATTGTTTAAAAACTCATATCGACGAGTATTAAAAAAAAACACAATCAAGATTGGGGACGAGAAAAAAATATTCCCGAAGAAAATATAACCAAAAATACAGTTTTCATTTCAAGTTTTTTGCATAAATAAAAGAGCTTTTTCAAATTTTCATTTTCATGTTGTAATATTTATTTAAAACTTTAACACAATCAAATTACTTTTCACTATGAAAAGTTAATTTCTTCATTTTAAAATTGGGAGTGTTAGTTTTCTTGCAAACAAATTTTAAGAGTGTTTTTATTCGTAATACGCGTCGATATTTTAAAAAATTGAAGGGTGTGCTAGAAAAAACCATTATCCGCCAAAATTACACTTCAACATTTAGAGATAAATATTAATAATTAAAATCAGTTTACTGATACAACAAAATTGTTTTTAATGATCATAAACTTTAACTAATTAAGACTTTCTTACTGATTAAACCATATATTTTACAGAAAAGGATTTATAACGGGTATAGAAACTAGAAAAATTAAACTTTATTTTCTTTAAATCTTAATGGAAATCGACGGGGCGTTGTTTTGAGATAATAAGAATTTAATATTTCAAACACGATTTTATTTACGAAATTGAGAAGAAATTAAAAAAATATAAATTGCAATAGAAAGTTCATGAAATTTTCTTTTCAATCAGTATATGTATAATATATTATAAATAATTACATTTTTATGTAATAACATTTAGTAGAAAATCTCTTTCCTTGCAATTGTTTTTTATTTATTGTTTTTTATTTTTTTTTTTATTTATTGTTTTTTATTTTTCAGTGAATCCACGAAAACGGGGAAGGCCTACCAAGAAAAGCCGAAAGCAGACTTCTAAAAAAGGAACCAGAGATATAAAAATTAAAGTGAATGCAGAGGAGAAGGAAAGAAAAGAGAAAGAAGAACGGGAGGAAAAAGAAAGAAAAAAAATAGAAGATAGAGAGAAAATGGAAAAGAAAGAGAGGGAAAAGAAAGAAGCACGAGAAGAGAAGGAAAAAAAACAGAAAGAAAGACGAGAGGAAAAAGAAAGAAAAGAGAAAGAAGATAGAGAGAAAAAGGAAAAGAAAGAGGCACGAGAAGAGAAGGGAAGAAAACAGAAAGAAGGTCGAGAGGAAAAAGAAAGAAAAGAGAAAGAAGAACGAGAGGAAAAAGAAAGAAAAGAGAAAGAAGGTCGAGAGGAAAAAGAAAGAAAAGAGAAAGAAGAACGAGAGGAAAAAGAAAGAAAAGAGAAAGAAGATAGAGAAAAAAAGGAAGAGAAAGAGAGGGAAAAGAAAAAAGCACGAGAAGAGAAGAAAAGAAAAGAGAAAGAAGATAGAGAGAGGAAGGAGAGAAAAGAAAGAAAATTGAAAGAAGAACAAGAGAAACAAGAAAGAAAAGAAAAAGAAGATAGAGAGAGGAAGGAGAGAAAAGAAAGAAAATTAAAGGAAGAACAAGAGGAAAAAGAAAGAAAAGAGAAAGAAGAAAGAGAGAGGAAGGAGAGAGAAGAAAAAGAAGAGCGTGAGAAAGAAGAGAGGAAAGAAAGAGAAAATAGGAAAAGAAGTATTGACGAGAAAGGGATGTCAGATACTATTGTTAAAAAGAAGAAGGAACAAGAAAGTGAAGAAAAAATAAAAAAATTGGAAAAAAAACTTCAAACATTAGAAAAGCAGAGAGAACAGCATCTTCGTAGAAGGGAGATTGATGTGCAGAGGCGAGAGCAGCTGATTCGTGCACGGGATCATCAGAATGCTGCTTATGTCCCAACTTCTGTGGTAAATATTGCTTTTTTAGTTACTTCTGGCTCCTCATGGAAAAACTTGTTATTCGTAGTACAAAATTATTATTGTTATTATCATTATTTTAAAAATTTAATCATTTAGTTTCAGAATACGTACAGGCGACCTTTCCGTGGAGGCTCCTTCAGAGGGCAGCGAAAAGGAAATCCAGGAAGAACATGGGGTCAACCTCGCAATAACAACCAAAATTACAATTGGAATTACTAATTATTTTTTATAACACAGTTCTAAAGTAAATATTTTTTTAAATTCATAATCTGTCATATTAATAATAATAAAATAAAAATCAAGTTTTTCAATTTATACTTTTTAAATTATTATTATCGAATAAAAAAACATAAAAATTATATTTCAGCACTTATCGACAAAAAATGTAATTTTTGGGACAACAACATAGATTCTTAAAAGCGATCGAGATTAAAAAATTTTCTTGCGGGTGACTAAACTATATAAATTAAAACCAATTCATCTTTTCAAAAAAGAAGTATAATGCTTTGTTTAGCGCCAAATATTAAATTTCTTTTCATAATATGTTAATATTTCGTTCAATATTTTAGTAGTAAATTCGTTAAAAACCAAATAAAAAATAGGAAAATTCAATCCTTTTATCGATCTCGTGTCAAGAAACGAAATCGAAAGCAATTTCCTTTTTTAAAAACAGAAAATACATGCGTTTCTGCACTGCGTGCTCAAATTGTGTAACAAAATTTCCCCTCTTTTCAATTAAAATTTTAATTTTTGCGTCAAAAACAAGGTATTCTAAAGACGAGCGAAATTGAAAATTTTTTTTATAAGTATCGAAAATGAAAGTTGAAACCAATTCCTCTTCTCGAAAAGGGAATATAATGTTTTGATTAGCTCATAAAATTATATTTCTTTTCCTTATGTGTTAAATTTCTATCCATATTTTCAAGAAAGAAAGAATTGAATCGATTTTCCGATCCTGTGTCAAGAAGCGAAATCGAAAGCAATTTCTTTTTTTTAAATAGAAAATACATGCGTTTCTACACTGCGTGCTCAAATTGTGTAACAAAATTTCCCCTCTTTTCAATTAAAATTTTAATTTTTGCGGAAAAAACAAGGTATTCTAAAGACGAGCGAAATTGAAAATTTTTCTTATGAGTATCGAAAATGAAAGTTGAAACCATTTCGCTTTTCAAAAAAATGGAGTATAATGCTTTGTTTACCTCATAAAATTAAATTTCTCTTCCTTATCTGTTAAATTTCGTTCTATATTTTCAGAAAGCAGAGAATTGAATCGATTTTTCGATCCGGTGTCAAGAAACGAAATTGAAAGCAATTTCTTTTTTTTAAATAGAAAATACATGCGTTTCTACACTGCAAAAACAAGGTATTCAAACGACGAGCGAAATTGAAAATTTTTCTTGTGAGTGTCAAAAATATAAATTGGAACCAATTCCTCTTCTCGAAAAGGGAATATAATGTTTTGATTAGCTCATAAAATTATATTTCTTTTCCTTATGTGTTAAATTTCTATCCATATTTCCAAGAAAGAAAGAATTGAATCGATTTTCCGATCCTGTGTCAAGAAGCGAAATCGAAAGCAATTTCTTTTTTTTTAAATAGAAAATACATGCGTTTCTGCACTGCGTGCTCAAATTGTGTAACAAAATTTCCCCTCTTTTCAATTAAAATTTTAATTTTTGCGGCAAAAACAGGGTATTCTAAAGACGAGCGAAATTGAAAATTTTTCTTATGAGTATCGAAAATAATAGTTGAAACCATTTCCCTTTTCAAAAAAATGGAGTATAATGCTTTGTTTACCTCATAAAATTAAATTTCTCTTCCTTATCTGTTTAATTTCGTTCTATATTTTCAGAAAGCAGAGAATTGAATCGATTTTTCGATCCGGTGTCAAGAAACGAAATTGAAAGCAATTTCTTTTTTTTAAATAGAAAATACATGCGTTTCTACACTTCAAAAACAAGGTATTCTAAAGACGAGCGAAATTGAAAATTTTTCTTATGAGTATCGAAAATGAAAGTTGAAACCAATTCCTCTTCTCGAAAAGGGAATATAATGATTTCTTTAGCTCATAAAATTAAATTACTTTTCCGTATCTGTTAAATTTCATTTCATATTTCCAAGAAAGAAAGAATTGAATCTTTTATTTTATCTCGAGTTATGAACCGAAATGGAAAGCAATTCTTTTCTTTAAAAACGGAAAATAGATGCGTTTCTGCACTGCGTGCTCGAATTATGTTACGAAAGTTTCCCTCTTTCCAATTAAAATTTTTTTTTTTGCTGCAAAAACAAGGTATTCAAAGTCGAGCGAAATTAAAAATTTTTCTTGTGAATGTCGAAAATAAAAATTGAAACCAATTCCTCTTTTCGAAAAGGGAATATAATGATTTCTTTAGCTCATAAAATTAAATTACTTTTCCGTATCTGTTAAATTTCATTTCATATTTCCAAGAAAGAAAGAATTGAATCGATTTTCCGATCCTGTGTCAAGAAGCGAAATCGAAAGCAATTTCTTTTTTTTTAAATAGAAAATACATGCGTTTCTGCACTGCGTGCTCAAATTGTGTAACAAAATTTCCCCTCTTTTCAATTAAAATTTTAATTTTTGCGGCAAAAACAGGGTATTCTAAAGACGAGCGAAATTGAAAATTTTTCTTATGAGTATCGAAAATAAAAGTTGAAACCATTTCCCTTTTCAAAAAAATGGAGTATAATGCTTTGTTTACCTCATAAAATTAAATTTCTCTTCTTTATCTGTTTAATTTCGTTCTATATTTTCAGAAAGCAGAGAATTGAATCGATTTTTCGATCCGGTGTCAAGAAACGAAATTGAAAGCAATTTCTTTTTTTTAAATAGAAAATACATGCGTTTCTACACTTCAAAAACAAGGTATTCTAAAGACGAGCGAAATTGAAAATTTTTCTTATGAGTATCGAAAATGAAAGTTGAAACCAATTCCTCTTCTCGAAAAGGGAATATAATGTTTTGATTAGCTCATAAAGTGATATTTCTTTTCCTTATGTGTTAAATTTCTATCCATATTTTCAAGAAAGCAGAGAATTTAATCTTTTTTTTTATCTCGAGTTATGAACCGAAATCGAAAGCGATTCTTTTGTTTAAAAACGAAAAATAGATGCGTTTCTGCACTGCATGCTCAAATTATGTAACAAAATTTTCCCTCTTTTCAATTAAAATTTTAATTTTTGCGGAAAAAACAAGGTATTCAAACGACGAGCGAAATTGAAAATTTTTCTTGTGAGTGTCAAAAATATAAATTGAAACCAATTCCTCTTCTCGAAAAGGGAATATAATGTTTTGATTAGCTCATAAAGTGATATTTCTTTTCCTTATGTGTTAAATTTCTATCCATATTTTCAAGAAAGCAGAGAATTTAATCTTTTTTTTTATCTCGAGTTATGAACCGAAATCGAAAGCGATTCTTTTGTTTAAAAACGAAAAATAGATGCGTTTCTGCACTGCGTGCTCAAATTATGTTACGAAAGTTTTCCTCTTTCCAATTAAAATTTGTTAGAAATGAACAACTTAACAATAGAAAAGGAATTCATTAGGATTGAAGACAATACCGGAATTGGTTTGGAATTTAAGGATATAAAAGTGCCAATCTACTTTAAATCACCCCTTATTACTGGGATAATAGTGCAAATGTATGGTGTATGGTGTAATGTATAGTGTATGTGAAATTGAAAAATAAATAAATATAACTGATACTTACCTTTTAATTTGGGGTTGCCATGAAAATGTTATTCTTTCTCCAACTTTTTCTTAAATTTCAAAATATAAAATTTTTGTATTAAAATTATTTAAGTTAACCTTTTTAAGAATTTCAATGTAGAACATTTCTAACTTTAATTATTTATTAAAATTTGATTACAGCTTTTATACAGTTTAATTAATTTTATAATATTTTAGAAAAATTAGGTATTGAATAATTAATGAATAATTATCTTATGATAGTTTTTAAAGAAATGAAATCTTTTTTACATTCATAAAAATTTAAACATTATAATAAATAAAACAAATTTAAGGTTATATAAGAAAATTAGAAGTAATTTCAAAATTTGTATTGCAAAATAAAAAAAAACCACCTAACTCAAAACTTAGACCCACTCTTTTTGATCCTGTTTAGAATTTGAAAACGATGGGATATCCATATTCCAATGTTTAGAGGTTGAAAGGAAGATTTAAAATTTTTATGAAAATTAAAATTCTATATTTTCTACCTAGGCTAATAGATTTAGTAAAATCATTCAAAAAATGAATATTTGCTTATTGTACAAGGTAATTAAAATATAACTATGTCAAAAATTTTAGCTTTAGATTAAGAAAAATTAAAAAATCTCTTTTGAACCTCTTTTAAGTCTTTTATATTCTTTTCATCCTTTTTTAATCCTCTAATATTACGTAAAAACATTTGTGCAACCCCTGCTGGAAAAGAGCTACTTTCCTTTAACATAAATGCTGCAGAAAGTGGTCAATTTCTGCACATTTAAAAGTATGCAGGAAAGTGTACTTTCCTGCACTCTTTTGATGAAGTGTGCAGGAAAGTGTACTTTCCCGCACACTTTTGATAAAGTGTGCAGGAAAGTATACTTTCCTGCACACTTTTTTGTAAACAGTATAATATACGCTATAATCAACATAAAACTATATTTATTGATTAGAAATGTACACTACCGTCGGGAATTATCGGTACGGCTGCACGCGCACGGCCCAAAAACATACCAATCTTTAAATTACGATTTTTTTGTAAATACAAATGTCAGAAAATTAACAAATATACCATTCGAAAGATTATTAAATTCTGCGATTAATGATACAAAACTGAAAATTTTAATAATTTATACAAAGTTTGCAGCAATCGGCAAATTTGACAAAAAAATTTAAAAAATAAAATTTTTTTGGAAATTTTTTCAACCCCTGCACATTTTTTAAAAATTGTAGAAAAAATTTGAAACTTATATAGGTGAAATCATTTAAGTCTCATCTTTAATTTAAGACCAAAAAAGTGTAAAACTCTTATTCGGTTCGTGAGATATCATTATAAACGTCCGAGCATGTTTTTTGACAAATGCATTGAATTAGTCGATTTTGAACGGTTTTTGGCTGAAAATGCTCGGCCATTTATAATGATATCTCGATAACCAATTAAGATTTTTTAACTTTTTTGGTCTTAAATTAAAGATGAGACTTGAATGATTACACCTATATAAGTTTCAAATT